TCAAATAAGCAGGAGTTAGGGGCCCAGCTCGGCAGGCCCATTACGAAGCACACGCCCCAGAGGAAACCTGCGCATCCAGTCCGGGCCCCCTCACGCCGCACAAGGTGTCGCGGGGCCAAGGCCAGTCTTAGGCTGCAGGCAGGCTGGCTCCACCGGGATCCCCTCCTCTACAGGAGCCAGGGCAGTGGGTGGCACGAGGGAGAAGGCGCTCCTACGGAGGCCCGAGGCCTGAGTTCTAGCCTGGCTCTGCGGTCCCGCACTGGCTGTGTGACCCTGGGCAAGTCACTAACCTCTCTGGGCTCTTGGCTGTAAAACAGGAAGGTAATTCTGCGCTTCTGGGCTGCTGTTGGACCCCCAAAAGAGCAAGCACCGAACTGACGTGATGGAAAACCACTCTGTGGGGGGTTATTCTAGGAGTAACTGAGTGCCAGGCGCCTGTAAGGCCCAATTCAAGGGGCATCCATTCAATTAAGCTAAAAGGCCCCCAGAATTCCGAGCGTAGGAACTGAGAGGTGAAAAGCACTGCCTTCAGCTCCTGCATCTTTGGTTTCCCCCCTGAACAGAGAGAGCAAACAGGTGTCAGCTTGTGTGACTCTTGCTGACCAGGAGGGGCTGTGTTCAGACACCGAGGCTGTGTCTCGGCTCAGAGGGGCAAACGGTGTCATGACTGACTAAAAATGTCTGCCATAGGCACAGGCTATGAGTTATGTGTTGTGCTTGGGTCATGTATTGTAATTTAGAAAGAAAGAGAAAAGTAAAACACTTTTAGAAAGAACTCAGAAAAAATGGGAATGGCACCCACAGCCTTCACCTGGCAAACTGGCACTGAAACAACCAAGTCTCAGAATGCGACAGGTTCCGTGGGAGTCGGGAAAGACTTTCTGGGCGAGGTGACAGCTAAGCCGATTCCTTAGGGAGGAGGGGAACCCAGCCAGGCAAAAGAAAGGTGGGGAGACGGGGTGCGCCGGGCAGGAAGGCTGGCACAGGGAGGCCTCCAGACTCAGCGAAGGCCTGGCACCACTTGCAGGGCACCAGAAAGGCTGCAACGCAGATTTTACGGTGGGGTAATAGGGAGCCACAGATGCTTCTAGGCAGAGAGTGACAAGATGAAATGGCACCTAAGTCTCTCCCTCCCTCTCTCCCTCTCCTCTGCCCTCCAGTTAATGCTCTAGAACAGCTGGAAAATTGACCTAAAAGATGAGACCTCATGGAAGTCAGCTGCAAGCTGATCAGTAGGAGATGAGATCCGATTACAGGGTCAAGGTGGAGAGAGAGGATGGACAGAAAGCTGGCCTCTAAGTGGACACAGTAAAATGTGCACGACCTGAGCAGTTCAGGCTGGAGATACGGAGGCAGGGCGAGCCCAAGGTGTGGGTGCTCTATGTCACATCCGACCTGCGCCCAAAGAGCCAGTAACCAACATCCAGCCCACCTAACTCTACCACAAACCACACCAGTGAAGCTTTAAGAAATGTGGTTGCTCTAGCAATTTCCCTTCTAGAAATTAGAAATAATATAAGAAGTGTGCAAATAAATAAATACAAGGATGTTCGCTGTAGTATTATTTACTAGAGAGAAAAAAAGAGAGAGAAGCAGCATGAAAGTCCAACAGCAGGGGACTGGTTAAATGAATTACGGCCATATTCAAGGGATGGAATTCTAAGCAGCCCTGGAAAGAAATGATACTATGCAAAGATGATCATGCTGTATTGTTAGGTGGAAAAAGCAGCTTACACACCCTCCCGTGAAGCCTGATAAAAATGAGTCTGGAAAGAAAACACTCTAAAATATCAGCAGAGGTTTTCTGTTTAAAAAGCCCGATCTTGCCCTGGCCGGCGTGGCTCAGTTGGCTGGGTGAAGTCCTGCAAAGTCAAAAGCTGCTGGTTTGATTCCCAGCCAGGGACATGCCTGGGTTACAGGTTCAAACTCCGGAGCATGTGAAAGGCAATTGATCGATGTTTCTCTTTCCCACTCCCTTCCCCTTTCTCTAAAAATAAATAAATAAAATCTTTAAAGAAAAAAAAAAAAAGCCCGACCTAAAAAGGCTGCGAGAGGATTAAGTGAACTGATCCACCTAGAATACTTAGTACATAGTGAGTGCTCAAAAAATGACAGCAAGCTTTCTATTTGTCATTTCTTCTTGCTCATTTTTCTGTCAAGAAGAGATCTGCCGAGCAAAAGTAAATACTTTTTTAAAACACAGCTTTCAGCCCATTGCCCTATTTATACAGAGAGCAGCGGTTCTCACCCAGGGGTGACTTTTGTCTCCTTACAAGTATTTTTCATTGTCCCAACTTGGAGAGAAGAGGTACCACTGGCATCTAGGAGAGGCCAGAGATCCTGCTAAACTCCTTACAAAGCACCGGACAGCCCCACCGCAAAGAACGATCCAGTCCCAGAGGTCAGCAGTGCCCCAGCGCGGAAACAGTGACTGGGAGGGGACTGTTGCTTCGATGCCTGTCAGGCTTCTTGCATCCATTACCCCAGAGCGCCTCCGTTCAAGGGACGCACTCGCCACCCAGGTCATCCAGGTGGCCAGCCACACACAAGGTCTAGACAAAGGCCCTGTGGTAGCGCCGACGGAGGGTCTCATTTGACCCCTGGGTCCCAGAGATGCTCCCGTCCTCTTAAAACTTAAACTCTCAGGAGACTCTCTCCCCCAAGAAGAGCATAATGGTTCAAAATGGGTTACCACCCTTTTTTTTAGAGTGCTAAGAATTATCCTCTGTGGGCCAACCCACTGAGGCTTCTGTATAAAGGGCGCTTCTATCCACAGATGGGACGGTGCACGGCACGTGACTTGCAGCAGAGACAAGGGTCCTTTGAGACCAGGGAAGGGGAGGAGGGGGTGCTCTTCAGCCCTGGCACCAGATCACTGCTGGCTCCAGCTGCCACCATTCCCTTTCCTCTAAAACCAGCCAGATAATCGCATCACACGAAGGTACCCTGGCCCACCATTTAATTGATGGGTAACCTTGCAGAAAACAAGGGAAGAAAAGGCCACAGAGCTTAACTCAAGGTCTATCCACTTGGCACTGCTCACATTTGGAGCTGCCTCGCTTCTCTATGGTGGGACTGTCCTGTGCATCGCAGGGTGCTTTGCACCATCCCTGGACTCTACCCCCAAATGCCAGTAGAATCCCATTGCATCCTTACCCCCTGCCCTTAGTTGGGAACCACTAGCTTAAACAGATTCTGGATCCTTGTCCTGGGCATGCTGGCTGTCCTGCAAATGTTCACAGAACCAAAGAGGGAGAGAAACTGACACAAAAATGAACAACTCCCTAACGCTAAAGCCAGTCAGCTCCCAAACCTTCGCCTGGAGATTCAGCGCTATCACAACACTGTGATACCAAGAGTAAGGATGTTTTATACATTTAACAAGTCCCCACTGAGCACTTATTATGTGTCACACACTGTTCTGGTACTGGGGATGCAGCAGTGGACAAAAGCAAACAAGATCCTGTTCTCAGGTTGCTTACGCTGGTCTGAGAATCATACAAACCAGGCAATTGTACTCATTCAAACATTCATTAATCATCTCCTCTATGAAGGAACCAACGCTGGATCCAGGAACTTAAATAATAACACCGCCACCCGCCCCAGCTAAGATCTATTTGGCACGAAGGCCACACGCCTTTAGCCACACTACTTCACTCACTCCTTACAGCTAGCCCTGGAGCTCAGCATCCCCATTTCACAGATGGGGACGCTGAGGCCCGAGAGGCGGAGGATGGCACTCCAGGTAACCAAACCACCCGAGAGCTCACGGCGCTGCAGGAACGACCGCCCACCATAAGCGCTGATTGCCCCCCTAGGGATAAAGTGAGTGACTGCCTTAGGGGCCAAATCCCTTCAGTCCAAGTCAATGTTAAGGTTCTGCCCATTTGTAGGTTTCAGCTGGACTCTGCCCTGGGGACTGGTATCATCCTGCAAGGCCACCAAGTGAACCCACATGACAGGGCACAGGGCAAGTCCATGTGGAAGAGAAGAAAGCAGAGGCTCAGGTTGCATCCTGTACGCAGGATCCAAAAGGCAAAGGGCTGGGGCGGATGCTCCTGTCTTCTATTTCCCATTTTCCATCCAGGGCCTGGGTTGGGCTGAGGGAGGGGAGGAAGGAGGGTCTGAAATTGGCTCCGGGGTGGCCTTGCCAATGCTCCTAAGACCTTCCTGGACATGACAATTGGGGGACGGGCCTTCTTTTACAGCCCCTGCCAAGCACCCTGTGTCTGACATCACCCCAAAGAGCAGCCCCCCCCGCCCCCGCCCCGTCCTGACTTCTGCTCTAAATGGAGGAACAGTTTAGGGAGTTTCCCCCTAGAAAGAGGCCCTAGAGTTCTGTGACTCACTTTCAAAACTCCCTCCTCACCCTGCCAGGTTTCCTGCGTTTGGAGTGAGTGAGTGAGTGCGTGAGTGCGTGCGTGTGTGTGTGTGTGTGTGTGTGTGTTGGGGGGGGAATCTTTGGGGGGGGGCACTCTGGGGGAAGAGTCCACAGGTCCCATGCAGGAGATGCTGGGAGAATTTAAGGAAAAGACAGCATTATGAATGGGAGGATTCATTTCACAGGGCGCGAGTTGAGAGCCATCCTAAAAGGGGGCGGCAGGGAATGAGGAGGTGAGGATACAGGGATTCGAGGGAGAAGCGGCGCGATGCATTCCGGGGGGCGGAGGGCTGGAGCCCCGGGAACCCAGGGGAGGGGAGGATGGGAGTCCCTGGTGGATACGGGGGAATGTGAGGTGTCTGGGGAGAGGGAGGGTTGGGGGTGTCTGGGAAGGGGTGGAGGATGTGACCAGCTGAGGAGGGAGGATTTGTGAGCAGTCCGGAATAGGGAGAATTTGGGGTGCATGGAGAAAAAAGGGGTCTTAGGTGCCGGAAAAATAGGACTTGAGAAGTTTAGGGCAGGGATGATTTGGGGATACTCGGGAGCAGGAGGATGCGGGCGCGTCTGGGGGCGCTCGGGGCAGGGCTGCGGGCCGGCTCCCCCCTTCACCCCGGCTCACCGAAGAAGGGCGGCAGGTGGGACACCGCCTCGAGGAAGGGCCCGGTCTCGATCTGCTTGTCCGCAGGCAGCGGCTTCAGCAGGTGCTCGGCCAGCAGCGCCATTTCGGGGTCGAGGCCCGCGGTGATGCCCCAGCCGGCGCCGCGGGCGTCCACGCCGCCCCCCCGGTCGCCGCCGTCAGCGCCGGGGCCGTCACTGGCGGGGCCGTCACTGCTGCCCGCTGCAGACTCTGGGGACGCCAGCGTCACCACTTCCGCTCGCGCCGCGCTCGCGTAGCCGAGCGCTCAGCGCCGCCCGCCGGCCGAGCGTCTAAGGGGCCCGCCGCACTGCCCGCCCCTGCCCGCCCGCGCCCAATCCTTGCCAGCCGTCGTGCCCGCCTGCCCAATCTGTGCCCGTCGCCGCGGACCTCCGCACCGCCATTGGTCGGGGGGCGGGACTTGTCAGTCCCTGCGCAGAAGCGCGCGAAATCGCGGTTCCAGCTGCGCCCAGGTGAGCCGCTGCCAGGTGAGCCGCTCCCAGGTGTGTTTCCTGCCGCCCCCGGCGAGGTCGCCCCAACCCGGGCCGGCGGGCTGGCTGGCTTGGGCCGAGTCCTCGCCTGGTGGGGGCGTGGAGCTGGCCAGGTCGTAACTCACAGCCCACACACCAGCCCAGGTCAGCGCCTAACCCAGCCAGCGCCCCTCAGGACGCCTGTTTCCTCCAACAGTCCATCCTCCAGCAGCCCCAAGTGACACTTATCAGGTCACAGTTCTTTTTAGCTACAACCAGCGGAGGAACTTGATTCTTCTCCCAAGGATCACTCTTTGCTTAAGTCACAGGCCAACTCAGCTCTGCCTAAGTAGGGCTCCAGGTTCCTGAAATCTTCGGTCCAGCCTGATCCCAACAGCCCAGTTTACAATCCATCTCAACCACCGCCTGACAGCGCAGACTCCCCCAAACCTAACCTAACCTCACCCCAGCTTCCCAGGATACTTGGAGCGCCGTTCACCTCAGTCACCTCCCACCTAGATGCTTGTCTCCTAAAGCCCCACGCCCACCTTCTCCAAAAATCTAGCACACGGTTGTTAAGGGCCTCTCGTACAGCCCAGAATAAATATTCATTGCGCCCCCGCTACGTGCTGTGCATGCACCGGGCCGGGTGGGCATTGGCTATAACATGACAGGACAGCAGAATCCCTGCTCTCAAGGAGCCGACGTTCTACTTGGGGAGACAATACGATACACAAATAAATAATGACAATGTCAGATATTGATAAGTATAAATAAAGAAGGTTAAACAGGGAAGTGACAACAGAAGACTGAGGGCATGGGGACCTAGGATGCAGGGGCTTAGGAGCAGTAAGGACCTTTGAAGGGGGGCCAGGTTTCCTGCCCTTAAACTGCATTGAAGCTGAGACCTGAAGAAGGAGGAGAGAGCCAGTGGCAGGAGCCTGTGGAAAATCCTTAAGGTTAAAAAGAGCTTGGTGTGCAAGCAGCCAGGGAGACGAGGAGAGGGAGTGAAGCAGCACGACTTGAACTTGGAGACTTGAGCAGGGGCTGGAGTGTGTTGGATTAGGCAGGGGGTGCTATACAGTTTGGATTTTCTTCTAAGGACAATGAGAAATCACTAGTGCCAGAAAAATAATGGCCGACCCTTATTAGATATTTTTAATGGAATCTTTCAGAGTGCAGATGATAGAAGAGGTTGCTCCAAACCAAGGGCATGACCCAAGCACAGTCAGGGGGTGAGAGGGGCTGGGGAGATGAGGCTGTCATCTCTTCCTGCTTGTGACCCAAACTCTGACATGCCCCATCAAGCAGATCTCCCACTGATAGGTGCCCACGTCACCAGCTTTGGCTTGTTCCCACCACACCCAGCCTCTGCACCTCAGGCATCCTGAGATAGCATCTCCCTGAAGCATCACCAGCCCGCCCAGCACCATGACCAGTTCCAGAACCCCACCCGCCTTTCAGACACCTCCATCAGTTCCACCGAGATCACAACCCACGTTGGGACCTCCAGCATCAGACACCCTGATTTCTCAACTTGCATGGCTGATACAAGAAATTCAAGTCCAGAAGAATTCTCTTGCCATAGAACATAGTGTCATATGCTGAAATAGGTCATTGCTCTGGGTCTTGCTTCCCCAAAGTTTATGATAGGGATTGATCTGGTACGAGGGGCCAGGCTGGCAGCATCAGTGGTTGCTGTGAGCTGGGTGTTAGTTACACGGTAGGGAGGCCTGGGATTGTGGGTACTGGGGAGCACATGGCCCATCAAAAGGGCACTGTGGCGATTCGCCTGGCCAGTCAGTGCCCAGAATAGTGAGTGTTTCAGATTTCTCAAGAGATGTAAGAAACCTAGATTGGAGGGTGAAATCTCTTGATTTTTAGATGTTGGCAACTAACTCAAAAACTTTAAAAAAACACTAGGTGAGCCACACAAAACATTTATTTCCTTTTCCTTTAACACATCAAATTTACAGAGAAATTATGAGGACAATTCAAATAACTTTTTCTTTCCGAACAATTGAGCATAAGTTGCTGACACCATGCCCCAGTACTTTTAGGTGTATTTCCTTCCAGCAACGATGGTCCCCTACAGAATCACAATGCATCCATTAATGGAGGAAATTAATACTGATACATTTTCACCATCCAATATTCAGACTTCGTCAAGTTTCCCCATCTGTCCAAATAATGTCCTTTGCAGCAAAAAGGCTCAGTTCAAGATCTCATGTTGCATGTAGTTGTCCTGTCTCTTGAGTCCCCTTCGGTCTGGAACATTCCTTGGTCTTTGACTCTCCTGACCTGGATACTTTTGAAAGGGTAGTTACTTTGGAAACTGTCCCTCAGCTTAGGTTTGCCTGATGTTCCCTCTGGATCAAATCATGCATTCAGGTCATGGATTGTAGATTAGCTGAAGATTGTGGATTCTGTGCATCATGAAATATCTCAGAAGTGATGTTCTGTCCTCTTTGCGTTATAACACATGATACAGGACTTCAATTTGTCCCATTATTAATGATGTCAACTTTGACTGCTAGAATAAGGTGCTGTCTTCTAGGTTTCTCCACTATGAATCTGTCTTTCCCTCTTTGAAATTAAGAAATATATCATAAGGAGTTACTTTGGGACTAGGTAATATCCTATCTCTCATCGCAGTTTTCATTTATTTATTCCCATCAACACAGGCTCTTGATTCCATGGGTTACAATCCATTATTGTTTTTATTTGGGGGGTGGGGTGGCAAACTGTCCTAGGTTTGGCCTGTGATAGCCCCTTTAAGCTGGTTTCTGTGTCCTTCTGACATGTCGCCATCGGTGTTAAAGCACTTCCTTACTTTCTGGCAAAAGGTATTCCAGGTACATCTTGTACATACCCTGCCCTTGTCCTGAAATCAGCCATTTCACCAAAGAGCCCAGGTTCCTTTTAATGGAAAACATGATTTAGAACCAAGTTCTACAAGTGCTTATTGTTATTGGGTGTCACCGCTCCCAGATCCTCTCAATGGACAGAGTTACAGACACGTGTGTGCACACACAGACTCACATTTATATCTCTATATAGTATTTGTTTCTACAGTCATCTATCTATATTGAAAACCATGAGTTCACTCTAATAGATCCGATTTCAATCTAAGCCACAGGGTTGATGCTAGTTTTTTCCGTTTCCACTGTAATAACTCCCTTTTCTGAGAGTGAGAAACCTGGTATTCTCATTGATTTTGAATCTGTTCAGTTATTTGACTAATTGCCCATAGGTAACAGTTTTTTATTGATGCTTTCTCCCCAACAAGGATGCCCTTTACACCCCACTCAGGCCCTGACCCCTCACACCAGGCCGCCTTTCCATGAGGATGCCCTCCTCACTCACACGGGCTCTGGCCCTCAACCTAGGCCACCCTTACCACACCCTTCTTACCCTATTTGGGCTATGACACCCCTCTGTGGCTCAGCATGCACCCCCTCCCATTGCTGATGCTTACCTTGCTGGGACCCGCCTAATGGGTTTTGGATTGAATGTTTCCATTGTTCAAGAAGGGAAGGGAAGGGAAGGGAAGGGAGGAGAGGGGAGGGGAGGGGAAGGAAGGGAAGGGAAGGGAAGGGAAGGGAAGGGAAGGGAGGAGAGGGGAGGGGAGGGGAGGGGAGGGAAGGGAAGGGAAGGGAAGGGAAGGGAAGGGAAGGGAAGGGAAGGGAAGGGAAGGGAAGGGAAGGGAAGGGAAGGGAAGGGAAGGGAAGGGAAGGGAAAGGGGAGGGAAAACACAAACCTTTGGCAAGTTGACTTTAGCTATAAGCCATCAGCGCCTCCCTTTAGAGCTCACTGTAGTGGGGCAGACGTTGACATTCAACAAATATTTACTGAGTGTTTACTCTGGACCAAAGAGGACAAAGGATTAGAGTCATTAGACAACAAATAGTGTTGTGGAGGGGAAAACACTGCCAAACTGTTGGGTCATCACATTTGCTCCATCAGTTGTAAACCCTCTCTCACATTTGCAGGACCAGCTTGGCCAGTGCAGTTAACTCTGCTGGTTGGAACTGACTCAGTGGGGAAGAGGTGTTTACCCTGCAAAGTTGCATCATTTTCCTGAACCGGCCCCACCCACTGTTACTAGCTTTCTCCCAAACTGAATCATTACATCCTGGTTAAACAGCCTGTTTCTCCCCAACAGTATCTGTTGGAATGAACAAAGTATGCCGGGTTCAGGGTCCTCTTAGTATTTCATCCTGTTACTCAGCTTTCCCATATGCAACATAGTAATAATGTAATAACAGGTAACAGTTACTGAGTGCTGACTATGTTTAAAGCCCAATGCCTCCATCTTCTAGTTGTGTGGCCGTGGGCAAGTCACTTCCTGTAGGAGTCTGCTGTAACAAGGACTGCAGGCTTAATGGGTTAAACATCTAAAGTTTATTCTCTCACAGTTCTGGAAGCTGGAAGTCCAAATCTTTTTCACTGGAGGAAAACCAAAGTGTCTGCCGAGCCGCACTCCCTTGAAAGGCTTTGGAGGAAAATCTCTTCCTGCTTCTCCTGGCTTCTGGAGGCTGCAGGTGTTCTGTGCTTGTGGCTGCGTCACTCCAGTCTCTGCCTCCGTCTTCACATGGCCTTTCCTGGGTGTGTGAAGTAGCCCTCTTATAAGGACACGTGTGACGGCATTATGGCATTTAGAGCTGCCTCAAATGACACAGGACAAACTCTCCATCTCAAGTTCCTTCACTTCCTCACACCTGCACAGACCCCTTTTCCAAATAGGGTCACGTGGA